ATTTCAAAGTTGAATTTTCGTGTTAGAAATGTCTTTGTTGTGATTATTCTTAACTAAACAGGTAAATAATTTAAAAATTAGGTGTATGTAACAGGAAAATGCTCGGGAAAGTAAACACAAACGTTAAAACAACAAATTAACCTAACTTTCGCCTCAGACTGTACCACTACATAGGTATTCTAGTAACGTTGTAATTGGACTTTAAACTGTTATATTTTAAAAACGGTGAAGCTAGGCTTCCCCAATTTTAGTATACTTATTTCAACTATAATAAACCCTAACATTTTAATTTTTTAAAAGATTCTTAAAAAAATTTCAAAAGTTATGAGTAAAAACGTGCATTTTCCGACAAGTCCTTCTTAAAAGCATGTGTAAAAGTGGCCAACTTCGCGATTAATTTCTCAAAAATGGTGTATCTAGGCTCTTTGAAATTTTAATATGTTATTTATGATACTGAAACATATCTATACAAATTTTTTCAGAAATTTCTTAAAACATTGAAATATCATAACATCCCCCGTAACTCTTAATCGAAGTTTTTGCTAGCAGAAATAGACCCAGACTCAGTTTTTTATTAATACAGAAATTTGTAGTTAAGAAATTTTTTTAGTTCTCACAATTCCTGATTCTAAATAATTTATCACGTTAGCATAATAAAGAGTCCGATCTTCTCAGAGTAATATAGGTGTAGAAGAGCCTTTTCAAACTGAATATAAGAAAGAGCCTTTAATTTTTATTTCCCTGATTCTAAGTTGCTACTATATTTATGTGTGTATATACATAATTGATCTATAAAAACATATACATTACTACCTTAAAATAGAAGTAAACAAGTTAGTTAAAAAGGCATTGATATCTTTTTGTTGAACTCCTTGTTTTGCTCTCCAGTATAGAATAAATGTGTGGATTCGTACAGCGGTACGAGACCAACCGAGAGCTGGGTAAGGAGCAAATAAGAACTCAAAAATGTCGAAGAATAATCTTGAGCGACGATTCGTTGGGCTTAATTATACCAATTAACGCCGACACCTCAGTGCGAGTGTACCTCTGTATAAAAAGGCTTTTTCTATTAGTTTAAGAGGACTTTCTTCTGCCCGAAAATTTAAAAAGGCTCTTTCTTGACTTTTACTCTAAAAAGACTCTTTCTTGCACTCACCCGATGGTATCATTGTTAAAAGTATTACGATGCTTTTCTCGCAATCAATATAAATGATTTAACTTACTTTATAATCTAAAGCCTAAAAATATGTTTATTACAATCATCACCCTTAAAGGTAATTCATTTTTATTTTATTTTTTAACAAAATACTGCGGTATTACAAAAAACGTTTTGTCTCAGAATCTTGCCGAATAAATTTTATTACTTATTCATCGAACTGTTTTATTCATTGTCATTCTTCTGGCTGTCAAAAAATAAATCAATGATAGCACACCTTGTTAAAGATTTGCAAACATTTTTCAAATATTGACAAAACTGATTTCTATCGTGTTCATCAAATTCATTTACTGATGAAATTTCAACATTAAGTACATAGCAGTAGACATGCAGCTTTTTTTTGTCGTGAAAAGGATGTTCATAATTTCTTAGGAGTTTTAAAATACACAAATTATGTTAAAATCCTTAGAAGTTATTTTATTATCATAAAATTATAGAATTGCCTTGTATCAAAGTAACAATATTAATTTAATTTTTTTTGATCTATCCGAAAAAAAATGTTGACTACATATATATGTATATATATATTAACGAAACATAAATAAAAGAAATAAAGACAAAATGATACATTGAATAAAAAAAAAAAAAAATATCTACCATGAAGTGGATTTGAACCCTTGAGTGCAAAACAATCTCTGAAGGGGCATAAGCCTTAATCATCTTAGCTATCCGAAGGACGAGAAGTACCTCTTTCGAAGTCACATATGTTCATGGATATCCTCCGGAGCTTGTCCTACAGTTTACAGAAGTTAGGATGTGTGAAATTAATAAATTAATGGTTAATTTTTTGAAAACATAAATGGATTTGGGAATTTTAAGAGTACGGGAGAGTTAAAAAATAATGTATTGAAATCAAAATTCTGTGTATATAATTAATGAGCATTTAGTTCCACGATCTAATTAAATAAGATTTATAGATAACATTGAAGCCAGAGCGAGAGCAAGTCAGTTAAATATATACATAGCATGTACTCGGTTGCAGAGTCAAAAGACTCTCAAAAGAAAAAAACTCGTGTCGTCACTTGCTTTGGCTGTGCGCTCAGATTTATACAGCTACATAGCCGACATTTCCACTCCTCTCCTCGTAGGCGAACATTAGGTATACCCCTTCCACGCGTCTCCAAGATGTGCGCCTATATGGACATTTTCACGCGAATCCACTCTTCTCATACCCCTGCCGTGCTGTCCGTGTCCGTGCTTCTCAAATAAATGAAAAAATGTGCGCCTGTTTCGGCCACTTGGCCGCGCTGAGGCGCTCGAACCACTGTAAAAAAGTGGACACACTCCGTAGCATGGCAGTCAGCAATCTCCCCAGCGTTGGGTTAGGCAGATTCAATATCGGGACTTTTTCCCTAGATCGTATATATAGCTATACGATCTAGGAAGAATGTTCCGTTGAGTAGACAGCACAGCAGTGAAAGGGCATTGCCAAAGACGCGCGAAAATTAAAAATTGTAATATTATAACACAAGTGCTTATCACCCAATGACCCGGGGCGCTAACTGGCCTCTCTATTAAATAATAAAGTATTAATTATTCAAACAAACGCCGATCACCCAATGACCAGGGGCGCCAACTAACCTCTCTATTAAATAATAAAGTATTAATTATTAACACAAGTGCTTATCACCCGATGACCTGAGGCGCTTACTGGTTGCTTTATTAAACGATATATATTATTAATTAATAGCACAATGGTCATCAGGTGATAGGTGCTTGTGCTGTTAATTAATATTTTATTATTTAATAGAGAGGCCAGTGAGCACCCCGGGTCATCGGGTGACAAGCGCTTGTGCTATAATATTACAATTTTTAATTTTCGCGCGTCTTTGGCAATGCCCTTTCACTGCTGTGCTGTCTGCTTGACGGAACATTCTTCCTAGATCGTATAGCTATACATACGATCTAGGGAAAAAGTTCCGATATTGAATAATTGAATCCACCTAACCCAACGCTGAATCTCCCTACTAATCTCTGGCGTTACTTATGGAGCTGCGATCTGCGATATAATACAGACCAAGAGCTGAGGCCAAAGGGTAATCACAATTTTACCCAGCCACCAGTTTAATCGGTCATGTTTCATAGTGGTAAAGAGTTATGTGGTGATTATTGTTGTGCCATATGATCTTTTTTATTAACCAGCCGCAACTTACACTAACGGCTAGAAATTTAAAGTTTGTTAAAAATAAAAAGTGCAATTTGCGGCAAGATTATAATGCATATTATACCCGAAAATCGACCTCCAAAAATATAAGAATTGTAGTCTTATCTATAATGGTATCTACAATACTACAATGCATCATAAATCATCTTAGATGAGTGTTATAGATAAGATCGGGTGCAGGGTCTAATTTTTTGAAGGTTGATTTTCGGATACAAGATGCATTATAATCTTGCCGCAAATGGTACGTCCCTGAGATAACCTTATATTTTCTATTCATTAGTGTAAGCTGCGGCTGGTTAATAAAAAAGATTGTATGGCACTACTATAATTACCACATAACTCTTTACCACTATAAAATATGACCAAAATATTTTAGGTCTTTACGAATTATAAGGTTCCTCAATTTTACAGAAAGTAGCGGCTGGTTGTAATTTTGACCACCCTTCGGCCTTAGCTCTTGGTCTAATAGGCTTATTCTGAGACCGAGATCGAGATCCGGCACCCAATACTTATTACTAACATACTAACCATTCTTTACCAAAAATTACATAGCCGTTGTATATCTACATTGTTATTTCGGGTGACCCGGGGTCTACTAACCTTACACCATGCTACTAACCTACTAATAAATTTGGCCCCCAGAGTTTATAAATACCAAAATAAATTACACCATTAGATTGCGCGTAAAAAATGCAACAAATTAGCGAACTCAACTTTTTTGCGCGTTGCCTTATTTTTTAATTATAAATAACAATTACTTGGGGGCTGCCCCCAAATTTCAATTGTATGATTTGCTTGAGTAGTAAGTCCTACAAAAATAAGTAAAGGCTTAAAAGATAGCGCGTGCATTGCGCCTGTTGCCCCCGAAATAGTTTTTTATAATTAATAGATAAATTATTGCAAAAATTGTAATAAAACATTTTATTGTAAATTTTTTGCCCTCGCGCATGCGCAGACGATCTCCAACTTAGTATTATCAATAGTATTTTTAATAGTTTTATCATCTTTTTCTCTTGGATTTGCAGAGTTGTCTTAATTGTTCTTTAGGACACTTCTGCAACAGGCTTACTGGATCCAGAGTAATTTTCATCATTGTTTGCAAAAATGACGTCTGGTATCATGGGCACAAGTTTTTTCTTTCTGTTTTAGTTTTTACACTCGATTAAATAATGATTGAGTTGAATAAAGTGGTTTCAAAATGTGTACGTGGAATGTTAAATTTACCTATATTAACACAAAAATGGAGCAAGTAAAAATATACATGTACGGTAAAGCAATGTTAGGGGGTCCGGAAGAATTACCTGAAATAGCGCAAGACTTGTTGGAGATCGTCTGCGCATAAGCGAGGGCAAAAAATTTACAATAAAATGTTTTATTACAATTTTTGCAATAATTTATCTATTAATTATAAAAAACTATTTCGGGGGCAACAGGCTCAATGCACGCGCTATCTTTTAAGCCTTTACTTATTTTTGTAGGACTTACTACTCAAGCAAATCATACAATTGAAATTTGGGGGTAGCCCCCAAGTAATTGTTATTTATAATTAAAAAATAAGGCAACGCGCAAAAAAGTTGAGTTCGCTAATTTGTTGTATTTTTTACGCGCAATCTAATGGTGTACTTTATTTTGGTATTTATAAACTCTGGGGGCTAAATTTATACAGCTCGCGCCGTGAGACTGCAGTGTCACTGCACCGTTAACATCCTATTTAACATTTTTTGTTTAGATCTGATAATGCCAGGTGGTGAGTTAGTTTATGTAACAATCGTGCAATAAATTATTCAATAATAATCGTATTTTCTTATCCTCTGACAACAAAAAGTAAATAGATGCATCTAGATTAAATGCAACATAGTGTAATTCTGAAAGTTTATTTATCTATATGTAGAGTTCTATATAAACTACTTTTTCTTTATTATTAATAATCTAGGGTCAATTTTGTAAGAGTGGATGTAACTTTCTAAGCAGGCATTTTACTGCAAAGCATCGCGTGACTTTAACGTGACATAAAAATGTATTATTCCAATACTAATTTTTAATCTGTGTTGCTATGCATGCACATGCACATGTATAGTGACACAGCAATGCAGAGCCAAATAGGACCTGTATGGGGACCTCAAATAGCTTTGAATATAAAAAAAATATAACATTTTTCAATTTTGTGATGGCGGAGTGAATGAAGTATGGGTTGTATTTAAAACCTTTTATTTCAGTGGCGCTGAGTGTGAAACACCAAATAAGTGCAATTATTAGAAGATTTAAGTTTGAAGAGTTAGAGGATGCTGTACTGCCGGTTTTTCCTGAAGTGTCTTGGACTGACATTAAATCCAGACTTGTCAAGGACCATGAAAGCCTTACAACCCTTCATGCTCTTAAAATAATAGAACAAATAATCAAGGTAGTCAGGTTTCTTACATCATGTATTATAGCTTTTTATTGTAGGGCATACTTAGAACAAGTATGTATATGCACATTGTTGTTGTGTCTGTCAATTCAAACCTAGAATTTAATGGCACCCATACTTCTTACCCTTCTTACTTGTGCACATGAAAAAAATAAATAAATTTACTATGTGTCAAATTTGCAACCATAGACAGTATCTGATTTTGTATACATGACAAGGGTCTTATTTTTTTTCAGGAATTTGGGGTAGCAGAAAAGGAGTTAATAGATAGACTAGCAATGCTAGAAATAACTGGTAAGATCTTTTAAAAAATTACAAAAAAACTGTTGTTTTAAACTGTAATTCATTAATTATTACACTCAAAATTACTAAATAAAAATTTAATACTACATAAAAAGTAGTAGATACCTCTACAGGCCTACATTACTTGCTATTTTAACTTAAGAAATTAGTTGCTTATCAACATAGTTTTTTGAAATTTTTTAGACGTGAGCAGACATTATAGGAGAAAAACTTGGTATTGCCACGAATTTAAAGGTACAAGTGTTGTGAGCCATCTAACATTCGATGAACTAAGTGAAAGAATCAAATCAAGCTTCAATAACCATCACATGAAAGTTGATGTTCAAATCTTACTGCATAATGATATAATATTTTTATCAATCAAAGATAGACCAAAAAAAAAGCAAACAACGAAAATTCTTCCGACGTATTTTTCTTGGATGAGTAATGAAAATTTTTTCTTCTGCTCGAAAAGAATTGTTTTGAAAAGTGTGTTGATTGCATTAACGGACAGTATGGGCTACCAGAGTTGCAGACTAATCAAATTAATGGGTAAAGACATTCCTTCATTGATAAAAATGTTGCTAGATAGAAAAGCTGCATCATCAAAGGGAAATATAGTTAAACCACCATTGAGGTTTCAGCAGACGAATCCGACTTTAACGTTAGTTCTTTTGAATATGCCTTCAATTTTGCCACCTCAATTTCCATCCTTTAATTGATACTTAGTGAACAAGTTTTGTTAACTTAATTAGATCTCTGGGACTTGATTTTACACAGCACAAACAGCGCATGAAATATGCTGAAAACTGTTTTGGGTATGAACCACCAACTTTTGAGCAATTGAGAATCAAAAGCTCTGACCAGCATTGGAAAAACAGAGAAGACAAAGTTCAATTGCCTGATGATGTTATATATACTGGGTAATTATGCTTTTTTTTACAAACTTCAGTGTTTTTTTTTACCCTGGCATCAAACACTTTTACTGAAAAATTGCCAAGTATTTTATTAAAATTCATATAAGTCAATGACCAACAGAAAAAAATTTTAGGATAGAATTTCAAAGTACTAGTATACCAAGTTTCTTGAAAAATCTAGTAATTCAACGAATACTTGTAGCACCACTACCTTGTTATGCAGCAAATATTTTAACATTAGCTAGAAATGATTTGACTCTAAAAGAAGGATAAAATTGTTGGAATCCAAGTTACAACACACCTTTTACAAACTAGACACTTCTAAGCAATCGGTTATAGTAAGTTTCGCCGCAATCAAGGCTATTAATGTTAGTTATTTATTACAGTAAATTGCTACAAAATATGTTAAATCTTCTTTAACTAGTTGCAGTGATTTCAATTAGGTATGGTATTTTGAAATACATTTGACATAGGTGTGTATAAATGTATATATGCACACAGATATCTTTCCTTTAATTATCTGTATTTTTGATTGATAGCATTTAATTGTTTTAATTGCTTAATATGAATTATTTTGAATTATCGATAATTTTGCTAAAGTATCTGCAGGAACCATGTAAACATAAGTAAATTTATACTTTTTTAAGCAGTTAAAGTTTGTAAAATCACTTTTATGTAGATTAATTAAATAAAAAACAATGTTTAGAATAAATTTCTTTGTATCAGTCATAATAGCAGTCTGTTTCATTAAAATGCATTTATTACTGAAATCATCAGAAGATCTTTTCTACAGTACATCTGCTTCATTATTATTTTCTATTTCCCTTACTTTTACTTTTACTATTTTTAACTTCTGCTGTACTGTTAAAGGTAGCTTAAGGTTTGTTCATTTATCCACCTTAGAGCGTTCTGAGCACGGTGTAAGAAGGGCTCGGGCGGAGAATATACTCAATATACTCTTCTTGCATAAGGCCGTTTTAGCGTTACTGCGGACGGGCGCAGTATTTTCTCTTTACATTTTAGTTATGCCCCCCATAAGGCAGGCAGCGTTAGTGTCGGGAGACTCGGGAGCCGTACCAAACACAAAGAAATCTTAAAGATGTCTACAAGACGTCTTGCTAAAATGAAAGATTTCTTCAAGAATTTCCAAAAAAAAACCTAAAGACATCTTGCAGATTTCTAATGTCCATCTTAAAGTCTTATTTAGGAAATCTTAAAAGACGTCTTTACGATATCTTTCAGAAAATTCCCAAAGAAGGCTTTTAGATATCTTTTGAGAGGTGTATTCAAATAGTNTCGCTTAACTTTTGTACTCAAGATAGTAAAGTATAAAGATAGTCCAAACTTAAGATAGTGTAAATAAACGTGTTTAATATAATTCTATATTTCAAGCGTGTTTTTATTCGCCAAGTCACCTGCCTAATCCCATACTGCTAACAATATAATATATTATTAATCAATTGATGGAACTTGTAACTTTCTTAAAAGATGTCTGGAACTTGTTTATCTTCAATTATTTTTGGGAAGTTGAAAGACGATGTGACATTGGTTTGCTCTAAGTGGATCTGTAGTAGTTTTTTCTATTATTATTGTCACTTCTTTTGGCATGTCATGACCACCGATGTTACTAATTTTTTTAATCTGTAAAAGAATAGGCTTTTGAATTGTCATATTAGAGAGATATCTATAAGCATCCATTGATGTTCGCATTGATGTTCGCATAGTGTTCAACATTGTGAGAATTTGAAATTATTGGCTCAATACCAATTTTTTCTTTTTTTTTTTTTTTTTTTTTTTTTTTNAATTAAAGCAAAATAACTCGTGTATTAAATAATCGAAAAACTATATTTAAAGGTTACAAAATTCAAACAAAAGATTCGAGACACTATATACACAGAAAAATACAAGAAATCTTATGCATCCGTTAAAAAAATTCTAATTACAAGTAAGTTAAACGTAACAGATTTTATTTAGTACAATCGAAGAAAGTTAAGCAACTCATGCATAGTAAGTTTTTACATAAGTATACTAAATATACTTCAAAAACTAATCTGATACAGGTCTGTATGAGATCGAATTTTATGATTAATGGATAACGCAATAAGATAGTAAATGAGAAAAAAATATTTTTACAAACATTTTCAGCATACTAAAGATTTCTACGGTTGAAAATCTATATGGAGAATTAGAATTTAATTCTACATTTGAGCAAAGTAGAGTTATCAATACTAACTTTGTTATGACTGCATTATATTTCATAAAAATTGTATTTATTAAAAAATTATTAAAATACTTGAAAACCTTATTTAGGAATAACCATTTAATACATTGAATTTACAGGAATATTCTACTATGTAATCACTTTTTGCGCGCTCGTATCTATATTTAAGAGTCTTAAATTTTTCAATATACATTAACTTTTGTTAAAATGTGCCATAAACAGTTTTCGTTTCTTTTCGATAAAAAATTAATATAACACATTCAATGCACGTATTATTTAAGAAATATTAGATACAAAAATGACTTAAAAAGTTTTTGTACGCTTCACAAGAAAATACAGAAGTAAATAAAAAAAGCTGGAAGAAGTGCATTGAACCCAAAAACTTTGGGTTTGAAAACAAAAGTTCTACCTTAGAGATATCTCTACCCATAGAGATATTACAATATCTGTACGCTTTACGCTTTACGCGGTTTCATGTGTCCAAGCCCTAAGACAGGTGGTACGAAGTACCACTTCTATCCCTCTATGCTTTGTGCGGTCTGATGCAATTTTCTAGCAGTACCAAAGTTGACCACTAAGAGAATCGGTGTCGAAAAGGCAGCAGCTGAGTAGCAGACAAGAAAACAATTGTATCGTAAAAGGTTCACTAAAATGTAAATACAAACTCTAACATTTCTCACAGTATTGTTCACGATAAAGTGTATTACTTGTTATGTCACTGGCTTTATTTCTCAAAAACTACGAAAAAAATTTAAAAAATGCACCACATGTCAAATAAGTTTAAATAGTAATCCAGGAAACTCTGTTAAACCAGAAGCATTATTAATTAACTTAAAAAATAGGGAAGAACTCATCCATGCAGATACTCTTCTTTACAAACTCTGATAAAATAGAATAATATTTTAGGGAAGCCATAAATAATCAGCTTGTCAATGTTTACGAAATATGTTGTTGAAAATCTTTTGCGCAATAATTAAGTTTCAGTTTCCCTGTAAACTACATAAAGAGAAAGCAATATTCGAATCTATCTATTATTAAACCAGCATGAGAATCAAACAGTACGTTAACATACATAATAAGGATGTTTTAAAAGAAAGTAGAGAGAAACAAAAATTATCTAAGTTGATTTCAACCTAATTTTTAATTCATTAATTTGTTGCCTCCATTGTATCTTATTCTACGTATTAGTAGTTGATTGTAAAATTTGTAAATAAATAGAGCTACGGTTATATCATACAGGTCTTACATCTATTTATTGGGAATTTTTACTCATACGCCATCTGACGAGTGTGATCGGTACTTCTGCAAAACTGCAATCTGACGAATCTGTTGGAGGTGGTACTTCGTACCACCTTTCTTTTTCTTACGCCGTGGCTCTGAGGCCTCCAAACCAGGCATGTAAACAAACATTGCTTTTCAGATTCAGACAGTATAAAACATTTCAGATGTTTCCTACATCTGATTCAAATTAAAGTGAGCTATATACTGTCATTAGGGTCCCATTACAGTACTCCATTTTAGTGACACATTAGAACGAACATAGACGTACAAAGGATAGACTGCTTATTGATAAACCAAAACTAGTGAAGTATATGTATCTGAGCCTACGGGCAGTGCTCCCGAAAGTGGCATTCAAAGTCCTAAGTAGCGCTAAATTAAAATTGGCTATTTGAAGCAGAACGCAAAAACTCACATAACCCATCATAATATTTAACATGATAAATAAATAAACCCCAAGCTATTAAACCCAATAACCCAATGCTAATTAACCCAGTAACACGGAACGCCTACTGGCCAAATTTAAATTTAATGCCTTAATAAATAACAAAAGCACCGATCACCACACAACCCGGAACGCTTACTGGCCGCTTTGTTTATTAATTAAATAAATAAAATAACACAAGCACCGATCACTACACAACCCGGAGCGCTTAATGGTTGCTGTGTTAATTAATAAATTGTAGTATTTGTGGTATTTTGTTTATTTTATCAGTAAACAAAGCGGCCAGTAAGCGCCCTGGGTCGTGTGGTGATTGGCGCTTGTGTTAATTTATTTATTAAATTAATTAACAGAGCGGCCAGTAAGTGCCCTGGGTTGTGTGGTGATT